TCACACTGGGCAGGGTGTGCATAACCCCCTTGCTCCTTACTTGAGTGCTGCATCCTCACACAGGGATGGGGCCACATTTGCAGGGATGCCACATCATGGCAGGGAAACAGTACTGTGAAACAGGCACTCAAGTCTTTTGTGCTCATAGCCTACACTTGTGTTAATAGTTACTCAGGTGAGTGAGCAGGAACAAAAGAAAGCAGTATATTGAATCTCAAGTGTCATATTGAGGGAAGAAATGGATTACTGATTATGAGTTGGAAAAGATCCTAAAGGTTTCATGTACCAAAAGAGGATGAATTGTGTTGATCCTACAGCTGTCTCCTTTGGGCAATGCAGTGCCACAGGTGTTCTTGTTAATTACTGTTAACTGAGGCAAGAAGTGATCTAAAAGACATTTGCCTATGGACTCCCTTATTACTGGAGACCAGAGTTTTCAAAGGTCCTAAATGTGGGGGCACATATACCACTGACACCAAATAAAAACTGATGCTCTTTTAAGTTACTGAGCTGCTTCTGAAACTCCTGTTTGTGGATCTTCATGGCGAAGCTTTGCCAGTGTTGCCAGTGTTGCCAGTACCTATGGCGGTTCTTTTAGCTGTGGCGCCAATGTCTGGGAGTTTTGGCAGTTCACGCTAGGCAGTGAAAGAAAGTCAACCCAGAAACAAAATTAAAGTATAAAATTGCTAGATGTCCCAGTCTTTCTGTTTGGGCAGCTCTACCAGCTCCTCACAGGTAAACTGTACATCTGCCTCCTGCATTTATCAACAGCTCCTGAAGCCCCCAGTGAGAATCGTCAGTGAAAAGTAACCATATCTAAGTAATTAAATATCTTTTCCATTCTTGGCCTACAAAACTAGCAACAGCAATAAAAAAATGCATCTAAACAAGTCTGTTAGTATCAGATTTATGTAAGTACCAGGTGTTGAAGCACATGCTCTCTGTGATTCCTAGGAAACCAGTCTTATTTAGCTAAATCTCCAAAGCAACAGAACATTCTCAATCTCAGCGCCAACTTACTGACTTGTAATGCAACTCGGTGGCTGATAGAGGCAGGGTAAAACTGTTCCCACAGCAAATTGTTTCCACACCAGTATTTCTGCATGGACACCAGTTAAGGCGGCCTGTCCAAATTATGAACCGTGAGACAAGATCCAGTGCCTGTCCCTCCTCTCCAGCACAGGGGAACAAGAGACACGCCAATTCACTTGGAGAGGACACACCTTGTTACTTTGACAGGTTAATAACAAATGTATGTGAAAATAGTGCATTTGTTTCAGGGTTAACGTGTGGTGCTTAATCTACATACCATCTTTTAGACAGTAAGATTACCAAGCTCAGACCTGCTTAGGTATTTGGGGAACTGCTGTTATAGGCACTGTTTTCAGCGTAACTCTAAGTTCTCTCTAAGGTGGGTTTTTTTACTAGCCGGTTGCTAAAGTTAAGAGAATAGATTAAACCCCATATATTTCCACAGGCACTGGGATTAACAAGCCTGGTTTCCAATGGACGTGTGTCTTGCAGTCCAGGTGCCCCAGCATGACAAACATCCCTCATGGAGTCATCAGCTCCTCATTGCCCTCTGTGACTTGACACTATACCGTATTTCCCTATCATCTGACTAGCTGCACAAGAGATGAAACAGACCATGGTTAGGTGCAACCACAGATCCTTGGAATGGAAGGCAATGATTAATGCCTAACAGGTACCGTTAATTTAGATTTCTCTCTTATCCCAACTGATTGGGATTGCTGATTTTTATGAGACTGAAAGGAACTTCTGTTGTGGTTTAGGCCCAGTGCATAACCGAGCACCACGATGCCCCCAAAAGGGCTAGTCAAAATAAGGACTGGGAGGGCTTCTCACCACTTAAAGAGGTCACAGGCAAAAGACAGACTCATCATAAGGAATAAAAACAAAACAATTTTAATTTGTTACCAACATCAGAGTAGAACAATGGGAGATACAACCAGATCTTAAAGTCAAAACGCCTTGCCCCCACCCCTCCCTTCTTCCTGGGCACAGATTTTGTTCGGTTTCTTCACCTTCCCCCTCCCTCTTTGCCTTGAGGCGCAGTGGGATGGGAGTGTGGGGGGGGTTTGCAGTCGGTTTTCATGCCATGTGCTCCTCAGGAGTAGGAAAACACTCAGGCCAATGGCTCCCTCTGCTTCCATGTGCCCCCTCCCCTTTTCATAGGGGAGAAAAAGTCCTCAAAATCCAATATGGGTCTGTTCACAGCTGCAGTTTCCCTCACACATGAACTGCTCCAGCACACACTGCCCAGAGTCATGGCTTCTTCAGGGGCAGCTGCTGGTCAGGTGGCCCTGCCCCACCAGTGAACTCTACGGGCTGCAGGCCAGTCGACCTGGCTCTCGCCACAGGTTGCAAAAGGGGAGCCTCGGTTCTGCATCCTCCTCCTCCCTCCCTCTGCTTTCTTTCCTTCAACCGACCTTGGTGTTCTTCAAAAGTTGTTCTCCTCGGGCCCCACTCTTTTTTCTCTGCTGCAGGTCTCTTCTGATGGTTCTGGAGTTCCCAGCTCGCTCTCTTTTTTCGGGATGGCGCTGCAGCGAAGCTTAAGCTTAAGTTGCACTTGGGGCCGGCCAAGCCCAGTCGGGCAAGGCCGGGGCCGTGCCACCCGCACCTGGGGCTGCACTGGTCAGGGGCGGTACCAGAGAGAGCGCGAGGCATGGCCTGCACGCCCCTTAAATACATGAATTCGCAGGGGTGCTGATTGGCTTGGCCCTGGTCAGAGGTGGGTCTGACAAAGGAAAAGGGGGAGCTTTTCAGGTAGCTTCTTAAAGGGCCATCTCCATAGCCCTTCCCCCGTTACCACAGACACAACCAAAAGCCCTCACAGAAAACCCAATACAACTTCCCATCTTTAAAATTACCATTTATCTGTCAAGTTTAGCTGAAATCAGTCAAGTGGATTTTGACGTTACTGGGGAGAAGTTGGATACATGATAGTGCAAGTCTTATTTCTGTGAAGAGGATAACAGGAAGCTTACCAAGTTGGTACAGTGTCTGTCAGGGACTGCAACCAAGTTCTTCCAGTGAATACTCAAAGCTGTTATGTACAGAATTAACAGAGGAATTATGGGCAGATGGTGTACAGTGATGGCATTTCTGCCACTATCTCTGTTTATCAGATTCAGTTAAAATATTAAATGTGAGCAAAATCAAAAGTGTAGAAGCTAGAGTGAAGATCCTACATGTGTCTCCCTGGAGGCTGTGGGATAAAGTCACCAAGATGTTAGTCTCTAAAAGAGATAAAAATTTAAGAACCTCATCTTTATGGACTCCAAAGAGGAGAAAGGAGACTACTGACCTTGCTGCAGTTTTGTTCACACCTTAAGTCATTTGAAAACAACATTTATGGGCTAGCAAGCTGGTTTTGGAAGAAGACTCTCCTCTCTTTGCAGGGTCCTTGCCATCTCCTAATGCCCACAACATATCAAAGATAAGATGCATACAGCAGGATGGATTTTTCTACTGGCTGTCCTTATTTGGAAGACTGCCATACAGCTGCTGATGTGCTTTAATTTGCTTTGTGCTAGCAGTTTTTTGAAGAGAACTGAGGTTATGGATCAAGCACAGAAGTAAAGATTGTCCTTTTTATCAGAGGGACTGGATTTCCAGTCACTCATAAGTTTTGTTGCCTTGAAGGTGTTTTGAACAACTGCCATGTAGGCAAAAAAGGTCGTCTTTAGTGTGGTGTCTGGCAGGCTTACCGTGCAAGTATGGGGTCAGCACAAGATCAAGATCCAGATCCACTTTCTTGGGCTAAACACAAGTATGTCCAGTGTAAACACCTACTTCTGAGGTAGCCTCCTTCAATAATCAAAATAAAGTTCATCAGTATTATCTTATGATTCATTTAATCTGAAAATTATGTCTGAAGACATGAAGTCCCCATCTAAAATACCTAAAATGATTGCTCACACCCCAAAAAGTGACTGTCTCTTAAATGGGTAGAAATAATAGACGACTATCCCAGACAGAGACAACCCTTGCTGTGTATCGGCAATGAAGAGTTTAAAAGACATGCTAGACAGCTGCACTCAATTAAATGTAATGTCAGATACTTGCCTGAGCTGCCATCAGTCCTCCTTTTATTCTCCAGTCAATTACAGCAGTCAATTTGTGACCGCCGAGTGCCCATCCAGAACATGTGGGCAGTGGCTGGACTTTCCCTGCGCACACCTCAGCAGATACATAGCTAGCCCGCTACGTGCCATTGACTGTTCATCTAATAGCCTTTTTCAGTGGAAAGGCAGGAGGTACCTTTGGTACATAAAGCTGTTGTGCAAGCCACACACTGGGGCAGTTGCACAGTAGGCATAAGAGCACAAGAACCTGGCTGAGATGCATCTCATTTATATTTACATAACCCACTAGACATCAGATTCTCATAAATTACATATTCTTGCAGGTATTTAAAGTAAGTGAGGTCAAGCACCTCAGTTCCTCAAAGCGTGGATGTGGGCAGCTGCCTGCATTGTGAAAGACTTCAGTACCTTTTTAACTCTGGCCGTATGCTCCCTTAATAAATATTTAAGATGAATGAGGCTTCCCCTCCCCTAGTTACATGTCATCGCATGCATGACTTCAACTGTTGTATCGTACACTCCCAGTCACCGCACCCTTCGGTTTGCCTCCTCTCCTGGTCTATGTATCTGCGTGTCAGGAGAAAGTGGGAAAGGCAGTTTAATTGGGGAATAAAGTTCACAAAGGGGGAAGGAGTTGACAATTCTCCTCTCTGCCCCTAGGCAGAGAGCAGCAAGCGATGTCAAAGCCTACTGGTGATCTGGCTTGTCATTCTGCCCGGGAGGGGAGTGGCAGACTGCAGGAGAAGGACTTTAAAAAGAGACAGAGGAAGTGACCCGGTGATGCCGCTGTGAAGCAGCCCTTCAGCTAAAGCCAATTACTTACCCAGCCACCTAGAGAGTACAAGGAAGAGCACTTTGAGGTAAAACAGAGGAGAGATGAGGAGGATGGCAATGAAGAGACTTTCGCTGTTCATTTTCAGTGCAAGTGAGTACTAATTTGGTTATGTCCTCAAGGGTTGGGTAGAAGGAAACAGCACTACAAAGTCTGAGTATTCCAATGGACTTTGTGCGCTTCTTTTTTGTTTAGTAAAAGTTCCTTCATGTTTATGACCAGGCAAGTGTGTTTACCATCTTTGTGCTGAATGTCCAGATTCACAGGCATCTCCTAAAGCCGCAAGACAGTGTTAGGAACAGGAAAAGAATGCTATTCTTCATGAGGCTGGAAAATACTTATTAAAAACAGTTTTAATTATTTCTGCTAAATACAGTGTTCATCTCTGAAGAAGGAACTTCCTCAACTGGAAGTGGGAAAGTCCTTGGGTTTTATTCTTTCATACATAAATCTGCATGTAGCGTACATCTGTGTAAGTTTAAAACCTACTGTTTATCCGTACTCCAATACAACTTGTGATCTCTATGTATTACTCACATCAAGGGGATGCACAGCGATCCCTACTAATACACAGAAATCAGCCAGCTCGCCCTTGGCCTTCATCACAACTTGCCTTTTCTCATCCTGCCTTGCAGGACCTGCGGCCTCAGTTCCACTGCTTTGTGACCCGACTTGTCTTCTCATGCCAATGCCCCTACACCTTCTGCCAGGCTTCAGATAAAGCTACACACATGGAAGGATTGTGTTTATCAAAAATCCTGAAAACCTCACTTCCACAATAAGACCCACAAGAAGGAAATTCACAAAGTTTAACGTAATTAGAAAAAGTAGATGTGCTCCATATGAAACAAATGTGGCTGGGGTCATGATTTGATGATCATTATGCAAATTGTTTAACACAACTGGTATTCATTCTCCTTTTCATTGTTCTCACCTTTCATGCTATCCAAATTACAGACGGGAAACTTTTCAGAGCAGAAATATGTATTCTGGGTGAAGCTCTTCTTGCCTGTTTGGGCAGGACTCAAATGGTAATAATTCAGTGTTAAAATGCTGGCCTGTAAAAAATTTCTGGAGAAGGTATAGTAGATTCCTGCACATGGCAGTGTGGTGTTGGGTTGCCAGAGCTGCTCTGAATGAGCTGCATCAGGATCTCAGCACAGGCTGACTTCTGCTGCACAGATTTCCACGGCATTGTGTAACTGGTACTGTGTAATTGCTGAAGGAAAAGCCCCTAATGCTCATTCTCAATCAAACAAAATATTTACTTCTAATTGCAAATTTCACATTTAAGAGGCTTCCCCTCTCCCACTTTGGAATTAAATTTTAGCTAGATCCTGAGGTAAAGTATTGAGGAATTAGAAGTCAAAGCATTTCCTCGTAAAAGTGAAGTAACACGTTTCTACTTTTCCTGCTTTTCTCACTAGCCAAATCTACCAAGACAGATCAGCAATAATAATATTGCTTAATCGGAATCTCATGTTTTTCAGCAAACAAAATATTCCTCTAATTGTTTTCAGCTCTATTAATTGCCCTTAATTCTGTTTCAGTGAACAGTTACTCAGTAAGGAATGTGAAAGTAGATACATCACTTTTATTTTCTTCTTCCTTTGTACAATTGAAAAGAGATAAAACCTTTCTCAATTCCTTACAATGTTGTAGACATACTAATTAGTACCACCAAAAAAAAATTATAAGGCTTAAATCTAGGTCATCATGACACCATCTCTCTAGTCCTGTACAGGATATTCACCTTCTCTCCGTTTCTGAAGTTCTTTCAGAATTGGTGCTCTCCTCCCTTCAGCTGTACTTGGACTAGATTCTGCTTTCCCTCGGAAAAAAAAAACAAAACAAACCCAAACCCAGCCAACCCCTGAAGAATAAACCCTGCTTTTTAGACATGCTGACTGTGACTAGCTGTCTGTTGGTGGCTTTGTGAAGTGAAATGTGGTGAGAAGAGGGAAGGAGGAAATCAGTGTAAGTAAATGGTGTCTCAGAATGAAACCGTGCAGCTTCCCCAGGAGCCAGAAGGAGCCTCAACAAAGGAGCAGTGGGAGCCAGAAAGAGATGTCGTGGGTGAGAAACAGGAGAGCACCAGAAGTTGGCCATCAGGGTGACAGCAACAGATGAATAAGCAGTCTTGCGTGTTACGGGCTGTGTCTCTTGTACGTGGTATTAGGTTCAGCTGTTCCCTGACTCTGCACTAAAGACACGGTAGGAAAAAAACAAAGCTAGATCTTATTTACAGGAGGATTTGAGTAGTCCGATCGAAGAAGGGAAAAGTACTTGTGTGGGGAAGCCTTAGGGTTGGGCAGTCTCTTCTCTGCCTCAGGGCTGAGTTAATGACCTGTCAGTGAACTCTGGCCTGGTGGAACCAGTTTCTGAGTAACAAAAGGGTCAGGAAATGCTTTTGTGCCATCTCCTAGTACAGCTGGTGGTACTTTCCACCTAAATGCAGGAAAACTTCTCTATCCAGTTGCCACAGGCACAGAGAAAGCTTTCATAGGTGTCTCTAATAAAGAAAGCAAAATGAAAAACGCAGTCAGAAAGAGACCTGGGGCTATCCAAACATGGCCCTTGCACTGGGTGCTCCAGAGCAGGGAAGGACCTGGGAGTGGCTGCAATAAAACCATGCTAGAAATACTTTGCCCCAATGGTTTCCTTCTCATAGCTGTCAGCAGCTGTAAATAAATTAATCCCTGAGAGAACAGAAACCACCACTGCCATGTCACACAGGAAGACTCAAACACACGTTTAACTAACTGCAAGACCACAGAACAACTCAGTTATGTGATGGAGAATGCAGAAAGGTGGGAACTTCAGCTGGTAGCCTCCTCCTCTGGTCACCTCACCTCCTTTCCTTACCAGGACGCCAACAAGCGGAGAAGGCAGTCCTTGTCCTCCTGCTGAAAATGTCTGAAGCTGCTTCTTGAGATGGCTGTGGAAGAGCCTGGCAACAAGGAAAGAGGGGTGCAGGGGAGGGAAAGGTTTGGCTGCTGTGAAAATTCCCGTCAAACGCCTCTCAGGAGGGGGAAGATGCAGCAGTTCTCTAAGTGTAGGTCATTTCTAAGACGTGAAGGACCATTTGCCATGGAGGACCATTCGACTGGATCCAGGAAGCTGTTACAGAAGCTTTGGCCTCCCCCGAGGGGGAGCAGATCCCTGTGCCCACTGCCCCATGTTACCCTGTGCAAGGACCTGAATTGCTACCAGCAGATTCCTGTTGCAGTGACAACAAAACCTTTTGGGTCCCTACACTGTTAGTTTCTAAGGGATGCTATCATTCACTGCTGTTATAGTCAAGGATCTGGTAGTGCTCTGCTTGCCAATGGCTTAACCTTGCTGACCTAACGCATGTGGCTGTGGTCTTTTCCCGACTAAAAAAGCACGTATTCACAATCCGTTTGCAACTCAAGGTGGACTGTAGATGTGCTTTGTTCTCTCCCTTACACATTACATGTCCTTATGGATCTCACCTGGACAGAGCTATGGCAGAACGAGGACCCAAAGCTTGTTAGATGGCAACATTTCGGTCAAATCCTCTTTGGGGAACACTGACTCAGCCTGGTTCTTTCAGAAGCAAACTTCCACCACCACACACAGTGTGCTCTTCTCAGGGAAAGCGCACATCTCTGCCTCCATCCACTTTCTTCCTTACTGGACCATGTTCCTCTTTGCCATGGGAGTGCCTCTGAGCAGCACTGCCTTTCTTGCCTCCCTGCACTCTCTTTAACTGGTTTCAGACTTGTATTTTCAAAAAATTATTCAGTTTAGTGCCATAAAAAAACCCAAACAAAACAAAACAAAAACCTCACACAAACTGTAAGAAGAAAGCAGGTGTTCTTAAACACAAGTTTCCACAGGCATGAAGGTCATCTGCGGCAGGGCAGCCCAATTCTGAGAATAACTAAGAGCTGCCACTAGCTAATCGTCGTGTCTGATGAATTAAGCAGCGGGTCAAACGGAACACAGCGTACAAGAAACATCAACCCTGCGCCCTGCATGCTGCACCAGGGCACTGAGGATTTCTGGTTTATTCAACTCTCAGCTATTCCTGTGCTCCACAAGCAGGAGCTACTATTCTTGAAGAAACGTGACTACTACCTTGCTCATTTCAAAAACAAATAGCTATTCTTCTCTTGTTTCCTTCAAGCTCTCTTTGCCTTTCCAGGTTTTCCTCTTTTCAGGGCATTACATAAACAGGTTTTGATTCCCTAGCACAAAATGTCATTTCTCTATGGACCTGGATTGAGGCACGTTACTTGACAGTTTTCCTGATCGCTGAAATTTTACAACATCAATTTGTTAGTTTAGCTTGAATCCTTAAGACTGCTGATGCACTTGTATTATCTGTGTATCTCTCTCCCTCTGTACATTTAGAAATGTCAAAGGACGTCAGTCACACTGAAAGAGGGCTCAGGAAAAAGAAATACATCTTTATAAAATCTATGGCAACGGATGTCCAGGTAAAGAAGACGGAAGCAAGGAACAGAAAGCAGAGTTTAGCTCTTAGGCGTCCTATGCAGCAGCTTCCCATACTCAATCAGTCACAGTATATATCACCTCTTGCTCACAGGGGAATGTCACGGATGACAGGGGTGACATGGGGTTATCGTGGCATGTAAGAAAGCCAAAGAGACACAACATGGAATCTAGACCTTGTTAATTTTGCTGACTGCAGAATTTATTCTCTTCCTAGTTCTGGCGACTGCTCATGCCCTCACTGTGGAAGCACCTGACAAGAAAATACAGGTGGCACGAGGGAACAACGTTACTCTCCGCTGTCATTTTAAAACAGAGGCGCCTGTTAACTCAGGAGACTTTTTTGTCTGGAGGAAAATCAACCGTGTGGTAAATCAAGTTGCATAAAGAAACATACAACAGGGCACCCAAGAAGGGGGTGGGAGGAGAGATGGAAGCGGGCCTGCGGGTGGGAATGTGTGCTGAAAGAAAAAGATTCCTTCAAGACTTTCTTGCTCTCAGAACTAAACAAACAGAAGCACTGGTTCTAGATGGAATTTATCCCAAATCTATTGCACGACACTAGGCAAGGGCCCGCCCTTCTCCTTTCTCTCTCTTGGTCTTGCATCTGTGTATTCAGGATACATCACTGTAGGTCCTGTGGGTTTACATCTATTAACATATGTGACATACTCAGATAAAAAGGTATGTAATATTTTAAGTAGATATATATTATACATATGTATTTATATATACATATTGTTGATACTATAGAAAAAGTTTTAAGTTGATGACAGTAGTACATGGAGAGATTCTCGATGTCTCCTACAATCATATGGAATATTTTAAGGTAAAGAGACCTTTTAAGTTCTCCTTGACTTCTTGGGAATTAGTGAGAGACAAAGCAGCCTTTGGAGATCTCCTTGCAGTAACTGTCAAGGGTTTCTTCTCTGAAGATCCTTGCTGAAGAAAGCAAGGGAGTTTGTGTAATCATAGGCAGACTTGATTGACATACAGATCTCAGACAAGTCTCGTGGTGTTCTGTCACAGAGAGGAAAGGGGAGTAAGCCCTAGCAAAAGAAATCATTTGTCTCTGACTTCAGATAAGGTGGGAGAAGGGGATTCCAGACAGAAACCCAGACCCTTTTGAACTTCTGTTTTTCTTGGCTTTTTGGCAAACTGGGGCATCTTGACGCCCTCTTTTCCAAGCTGCTCTTCTCTTAAGAGTGGCCTAATCTATTGAGTTAGGTTGTAACTCACACAGAAGAAAACTAAGATTGATCATTTCCCCTCCCTCCCTCTCAGGACGATGCTGTCACTAGGTATTTTGATGGGCTTGTATACTATGGCAAGGGCTATGAAAACCGCATACAGATAAATGGGGACGTAAACAGCGGGGACGCGAGCATCACCATCAACGCAGTGACCATGGAAGACAACGGGACGTACGCATGCAGCGTCCATCTACGGAATGACCTCCCCAGGCACACTGCATTCTTGTCTCTTTTTGTCCTCGGTAAGCACGATGGAGACAACACCGGATCCGTTACATAAAACACTGTCCTTCCTCTGATAGCCACTTCAGTTCATACAACAGATTTTCTAACAGAAACAAACCACTTTTCAGGAAATCATCATCCACAATTCCATCTTTGGTCTTTTCCTACTACTACAGAAGTAGGTTGGAAGGCTTAGAGCACCCAACTCCCTTAGATACCCGATTGGAGAAAATAAGTCTTCAGAGTTGTATAGTTCACTTTCCTAATACCCCCTGCCTCATTACAGGGCAGTCCTCATTCCCCTGTGGCTTGTCATACCCCAGTTACAAAAGGAGGAGTTATCCAACACTGTCAGACATAGCCCAAAGAGCATCTTGCAACTCCTTTTAGGATAACCAGTGCCAAGAATGGAGAAACAAAATACAGACAGGTCCACTCCAGTTCCTTTGAGAAGAAGGTAGTAGGCCGCAACACCAGATGGTTTAGCAAGAATAAAAAACACAGGTGCAGGAGATGGGTTGAAAACAAAAACTTACCTCTGATTACTAAAATTCCTCCCCTTTTTCTTTCTTCAGTTGCACCATCCAAGCCAGAATGTCAAATTTTGGGGACACCAGAATATGGACAGACAATTAATCTGACCTGCAATTCTCATGAGGGCTCTCCAAAGCCCACGTATAGCTGGCAAAGCTTCAATGTACAAAATGAGCCCCGTGTGCTGCAAACAACAGAAGGTATGGGAAATTCAAAGTCATTGAGTCTTTCAGCTCTCTGCAGATCAGGGTTGGAAATATTTTGAAATGCAAATACAAAAACACACTTAAAGCTTTTTTCTAGGAAGTTCTCTGACAAGGCTTTTGAAAAGTTATCTTTTTGATACAAGACACACTCAGGAGTAACTTAGCAGGGGGAAAAGACGGTTACCTGAAGTAACAACGCTCGGTAAGATTTTTCACTTCAGCTCTCACCTGCCAAGAAAGCTGGCTCAGTCTGGAAGCAGCCAGAAGTAATTACTTTTCAATTGCTGGGTGTAAGGGGGGCATACCATGAGGAATAACAGCAAGGTTTCTAACTGCTGTATCTTTATATCCCAGCTCGCTCAACAGTGACCAGGTCACTTTCTCTGGTAAAGGCAAACAAAAGCTGGCTCTGGAACCTACTTTCCTTCTAGGGGTGACTCCTACCCTAGAGGAAGGTGGTGTCAGAAAGAGTTACACCATGCCTGCTTTGAGCATACAAGAGGTTTCTGGTTCTTTAGGACTGTCACACAGGCCTCAATATTTTATTTTCATTTAAGTCAGTATCTTAAAAAGAAAAAAAAAAAAAAAGGAACTGAATTTCCCTGACAGGACCTTTTGTAGATCTACACACACAAAAATGAGGACTTAATAGTCTTTTAAGTGTAGTAGTGACAGAGGAGTCATATTTATTCCTTTCAACAGCTTTGTTTCTTTGGGGTATGTTTAGCTCCAGAAAGACTGAGTATCTGAACCTCCCCTTTTTGGTTTCAGCTACTGTAGCATCTCTAAAGAAGTAAACTAAGTATGATCAGACTCAATAGGATATTCAACACTCACTCGCCGATTCTTGCAAAAAATCATGCAAAAGATAAATGTCATCAAGGACACAAACCTGATTCATTTGACTGGCCACTAAGTGGTGCCAACACATCACGCACAGCCCTGAACATACCAGGAGCTGTCCTCTTGTAGCAGCAGCTGCTGCCTGCTTCTGCAGTCCTTCTTAGAGTCCCTTCCGATCCATGTCTACCTCATTCTTTGTTTTCATCAGAGCTCCCATCTCCAAGTAGTGTGTCGACCATCCCCTTCTGCCCCAACCTGGCTGGACACCCTACAGTTGCCGCAAGCAATTTCTTTCTGTGCTAAGCAAGTCCCAGTGCTGCAGAGTGTGTAGAAACCCCTTAGGAGCCACTTCAAAATTGATAGTAGCTAACCTGCATTTTACCCAATTTGACTCAATTACTTTTGATTTAATATAGGAGGACTTAGAGTTGCAGCCTATAACCAGACTGTAAGAGCTATAAACATCACATCGCAAAAAAAAAAAAAAGGGAAGAGAAGTAAGGATGGACAGTATGTTGAGACTAAAAAAAAAAAGAAAAAGGAAAAAAGAAAAAACCAAAATCAAGCATTTAGTCTGCTATTTCTTGGTTTGCATGCTCTTTTACGATCTGGCGCTAGGTGCCAGCAGAGACTAAACAGAATCATCCCAGTCCCAAAAGTGGGCTGGAAAGAAGTGAGGTCACAGGGAAAGTAAAACAGGGAGTCACTGCAAAGTATTCAGAGCTTTTTGCTTCTAGAGCAGGAATCTGGACCTTTTATCAGTAGATCACAACCAGAAAGCATGGACTATGTACTACTGTGGCACAAGCTGGAACACAGGAGGTTCCACTTAAATTTGAGAAGAAACTTCTTCTCAGTGAGGGTGACAGAGCACTGGAACAGGCTGCCCAGAGAGGTTGTGGAGTCTCCTTCTCTGGAGACATTCAAAACCCGCCTGGACGCCTTCCTGTGCAACCTCATCTAGGTGTTCCTGCTCCGGCAGGGGGATTGGACTAGATGATCTTTTGAGGTCCCTTTCAATCCCTAACGGTCTGTGATTCTGTGATGTACATAAATGTCAGCTAGAGACGTAACAAACAAAAACTGACTGCTTGAGCTAAGCTTTAGCACATGGTTCTGAGCTCTGTTAGGTTGAACAGAAAACACCAGTATCATGGCAATCTCACTTCACTGCATTTCTTTTCCTGCATTCATTTTCACAGCTTGCATGGCGCCTCTCCCAGACCAGAAAACTATTCCCCCCACTGCTACGTAATTCAGATCTGAAATCCTAAGAGCCGGAGGACTGAAGAGCCTTTTATTAGTTTACAGGTTATTTCATCAGATAGCCAGTTCTCAAAGCCAGATGCCAGTCTGGGCCATCTTCTACTTCTCAGTAACATCAAATGCAAAAAAAGCTTTCACTAAGCACACACAGTTCTTTACCCTCCACCGACAATTTTCTTTCTCTCTAAAAGGACTGTTCAAATGCCATGCGTTCCCTGTAATCAAAACAGCACACTTCCGTTTGCCCTCCCACAAATCACACTAAAACCTAGGGACAAGCATGGCAGCTCCCAAAAAGACAGAGCAATCCATCAGCTTTAATAACCTCTCACCAGTCCCACTACCCTGGGCTGGAATTGCAGGGCTGCTGTCCCCACTTCCTTCCCTGCTTTAATTCTTTTCTTTTTTTGAACTGGCTTTGTGTTTCTCAACAGGGGAACTAATAACTCTGAAGAATGTCTCGGCAGATACCTCTGGCTTCTACATCTGCACTGCAGTAAACATTGTGGGAAAGGCATCTTGCAACATGACAGTCAGCATCGTGCCACGTAAGAGATGGGGTTGTTCACTGGAAGAGCG